GCAAAATACTATCACATATATCTTTTCATAATTCCAACAGATCAATTGTTTATTAAAAAAATCATATTGCATAGAAATCGGGAATTTAGGTAAAATTCGACATGACAATTTTGTAAAAGTCAAAATTCTCTCATTTTTTATTACAAAAATTTGTTTACCATAAAATTGGAGATTTTGAATTATACAAAATACTATAACATGTATCTTTACCTAATTGCAACATATCATGTTTATTAAAAATAATCGGATTGCTGATAAATCGGGCCCAATTAATTGTTTATTTAAACTTATCTAGAATCCTAATATAATTTGTGGCGATAGACGATGCACCAAAAGACCAAACAAATAATGTTGTGTGCAAGAATATTTTAATAATATATAAGTTGCATTTTGTTTTATTTCATTCATCCAAATCTAAATATTTTCCTTAATAAAACTAGCTCGTGCATCGCACGAGTACCACACTAGTTTGTATTAAAGGGTTGTGGATGCCCTTATGTGGAAAAAGTCAAAAAAAAAAGAAATAAATCATGAAAAGATTTGGTTAATTAAGAAAATAGAAAATAATGAGTAAAAATCATGAAAAATTTTGGTTAGTTAAAAAAAATAAAAAATAATGGTTAAGAAGTAACCTATCATTATAACAAATTTTATTTATTTAATTTTCTTTTTTTTTTTTGCAGCAATAATGTTAAACTCATATATATTTTTATATAGAATAGTTTACTTGGGATTAAAATTCTATGTACTTAAATCACAACAGTGTAGGAATTTATACAAAAATTAGTACAATACCAGTGTACTACACGGGTAGTTGATAAATAATTAAATGTACAATAAAGAATTAAAATAAAATTATTTAAAACACATAATTTCTTTTTATTTAAAGACATAATGGAATAATATGAACAAAGCACAAAATTTAGAACTCCTAGAAAGTAAGATTAAACGCACATTATAGAAATAATATAATAAATACATATTTATATGGAATGATTTAAATGTATTAAATATGTGTATATATATGATAATCTGAACCTAAGTTATTTGGTATAAATTAGTAATTTTTATTCAAGCAATATTACAAAACATAATATTTTGTTCCATGTAAGATTACAAAGCGTGCGAGCTGGCACTTAGGATCAACGAGTTCTGAAATTATATATAAGAGGAATTTTCAATTTCTAGGAATTTATATCATGCCAAATGAATAATATCATGAATAACATAATATATTCTGTTAAAAAAAATGAATAACACAATATATTAACATAATTAAACTATGTCTTTTATACAATTTCAAATTTATGTTTTCTTTTGATTATGTAATATACTCAAATATATGAAGTAGGTTAATTAATTATTAATTATTTATACAATCATATCATATAATCAAAGTGAGTTTCATAAGAAAAATTATATGCATATCAAAATAATGATATGGTAAATTGTAGATGACGTTTAAATAATGTTGATGGAAATTTAGCATTTTTAATTTTTGAATAAATTTATACACTTTGTCTTTAATTTTCATCCTTTAGTGTAAAAAAAAACATTTTTAATATATTATTTTTACTATATATATATATATATATATATAATTAAAATTCTTTCTATTTTTTATTAAATTACATATGTTGTATGCGAATTTTACGGACCGCCCAACACACTATTTGGGCCTTACCGTTTATATCCTTTATTATTATGTCAGGGACAACATGAGT